GTCCTATGAACACGATAGAATGCCAGGCAGTGTGTGAGGACAATATTTGGTGTCAAAGAATCTGTTTGGGATTTTTCTAGCTCAACTCAGTCTGGGTGAAGATTAGAAAACTGATTTCAAACGCGGCCTACCCTAAATCAAACAAACCTCAACTCTGGTGGAACAAAAGCCACTCAGCAAAGAAATAAAGCCATAAAATAACAGTCGTGTAAATAGAGCGCCAGGCTACCAGGCAAAGGTCAGGCTCCACACACACGCAGTAGAAGCTAACTTCTCAACCCTGTTAGTAGGGAGCAAACAGCCTTCACCCCTGAAAGGTATTTAGTGCAATCATCCCTAAGGAGTACGGTCCTTGGTCCAGCGTGACACCTCTGCTACCATGGCCAGCCCCATCTCTCACACCTGAAAGGCTAGACTTGGAGACTAATGATTAACCATGCCAACAGAGATGGAAGAGCCCCCAACTCAGCCATCCAGACCTCAAACCTAAGATCACCTCATGTAGAGACAGCATTCAGAGCAGTAGAGAGAACCTGGTCAACTCTTTTTTGGATTTATTGATTTGTTTATTTATTTGTTTTTTTTAATTTGGTTTTTTGAGACAGGGCTCCGTTGTGCAGAGTCAGCTGTCCTAGAACTTATTATTTTTATTTGTGTATGTGTATATTTGCCTGTTTGTGCACTGTGTGCATGCAGTACCCTTGGCGGCCAGAAGAGAGCATTGGACCACCTGAGTGAGGTTGCAGAGGGTTGTGAACCACCAAGCCCGTGCTGTGAACCACACTTGGGTCCTCTGCAAGTACAGCAAGTGCTCTTAGCTGTCAATCCAACTCTTCAGCTCCTAACCAGAAATCTTATCAAAGAAGAAAACCAACTCAGACCCTTAATAAACTTGACAACCTTCCCTAAAACAGGGAGATAAACTATTGGCCTAATTGAAGGGAATGAATGAATGAGGTTGCTTCAAGTTTCACGGGTATGTACCCAGGCTCCACAAACCATGAGGCTCACATACTACTCAGTATGAACCTGGGAGGAAAGAGGAGGAAGGAGATGAAACACAAGGGGTAAAGAAGGCACTGTAGTGTTTTGAGTGTCCCAAGAGCTTCTGTCGGGTAGGAGGCGGGTAGCACCCAGTTGAGGGCATCCCGAGTCCCTGGGGCTGTGACAGACTGAACTCATCCTCCTGAAAGGTTAGAGGTCAAATTAGCTCCCTAGTCACCGAAGCACTCCAGAACAATGACAAGGATTTGAAGCTTAGAAACTTTCTTTCCATGTCCAGGTGCAAATGTGCACCTGTGTTTGCTAAACAAATGCTAACATATAAAATGAATCCCGTGTTCCCCACAGCCCAGGGGAAAGGCAAGGCACACAGAGCCCCGGCACCAACACAGCCGCACCAATGACGGCCCTTTAGTAAGCTCTGCGTACCCTCCTTTCCCAAGTGCTTCATTTGGAAACTCATTCATCACGCCATTCCCAGGAGGAGAAGCCAGGCGGCTCTACGCTCCCTAGGTTATACAGCTGGAGAGCAATGAAGCAGGTGTAGGCACCAACCTGGGGCAAAGGAGGTAGAAGCCAGCATCTCTGCTTTGCCACTGCTTCTGGACTCTGTTCACTGGGACCAGTTATCAAAACAGGCCCCCCTGTGGGCAGATTGGGTGACAATTTATTGAAAAGGGGCAATTTGCTCAGAAGTATCGGGAGGTTTACTACTCCGTGCCTAAGTGTGAACTGACAAGTCACCTGGTTTATAAGAATAAAAGTGAGAGAGAAGGTGCATATGCCACGATCGTGTATATACACATTATGCCACGATCACATATGTTCACATAGGCATTTTTTTTCTATAACCATCCTCCATGAAACTAGGCCCTTATTGACATGGAGAGCTACAGACACTCAGATTTGGCATTGCTTTTACATGGTCATTGGGTTGGGATTCGGGAATAACACAAGCAGGAGAATGAAAAAGAGGAGCCGTGTGTGTGTGTGTGTGTGTGTGTGTGTGTGTGTGTGTGTTAATCCAACCTCTTTGGACACAAGTTAGTTGTTATACTAAAAACAAAAAAAAGCTATCAACAAATGCTGGATCTAATAGAATGACATAAAAATTACAAAAAACTGACAGGATACCCAAAGATACCCTGCCCTCTGCAAAGAACATTTTCTCTGGGAGATAAATCTAGACGCAGACATAGAGGCAAATACTAAAAGTAAGTTCTTAAACCTTAAAGGCCCTCTTGGTAGGAGCCTGGATCAGAAATGGACCCGGCAAAACTTGTACTTGCCCCTAAAGAGTCAGGTCCTCTGTATCCAAAGGTCCAAAGGTTTCTTTTACAAACTAAAATGAACGAACAAAGCCAACAGTGGGATTAAAAGCTCTCTAGCGTTATAAAGATCGCCTGTGGACCATGAATACGGCTTCTGAAACACTAACCTACCAATGTGCCTGTTAACATGTTCAGACTCCAGGATCAAGTAGTAATAATGGATAAGTACCAAATACTCAGGCTGACTTTTTAGAGCCGTGTCAAAAGCTGGGAGGAAGGTTCAATGGTGACTCTGTGGCTAGTTTATTCCCAGCGCCAGCAAAAATTAGGATTTACATAATAAAATAAGCCAGGTGTGGTAGCACGCCTCAGCACTAGGGAAGGCAAACATCAGGAATCCAAGGTCATTTCAGCGCCTTGGCAAGCTTGAGGTCAACAAAGGAGACCCTGTCTGGAGATAACCACGACAATCAAGACAGATAATGAAAAATAAAAGCATTCTTCCAAGAAAGAAAATGAAGCAGCATTCCAACAACCACCATTTGTAAAGGACACACACGTCCTCTCCCTTCTCGCCAACCCTCCCCACCCCAAATAATGTTTATCTTTTTCACCCTTAGTAAACCAGCAAACTGGCATTGTGATTAGTGAGAAACCGGCTGGACTCTAAAACCACGGATTTCCTACTACTCCTTGCTTTAAAGCAGGGTGGGGGGGGGCGGGAAGAATGGAAATGGGTGGGGGAGACAGAGAAAGCACTCAGCAGCCCAGGTGATGACATTCCCTCAGCTCCAAGATTCCAACACCTGAAGTGAGGCCGTACAAGGAGCTGGCCCTGAACTTGGTTTACTTCCCAGTTAAGACTGGTTTTTACTAAACCTTTGCTCCCGGAAATCGCTATTTTAAATCACCATCTTAAACAGAAAAAGAAAATCCCCCGAAGTCCCCTACTAGGAAGAGATAACAAGTAAACTTGGGTGTGAATTGCCCTTAAAATAAATAACAAGGAGAGTTTGAAGGTGGCCAACGCGGAGCTGACACGCGTGTTGGATGTGTTGGTTGGTATCAAGTAAACCACACGGGTCCTTTGGCCTCTCTTTGGTGCCCAGCACAAAGAACCAGTGAAAATTATCCAAGTGCGGTCCTTAGAAGACGATACACAAACACGGCGGTTACGGAGTCTCACTGAAAAGAACAAGGAAATCTCTACATAAAGAAAACCATTAGCAGCTTCAGAGGAGTAATTGGAGGCAGGTGTGACTGCTCCCCAGAAATTAATCAGCTAATAACCATTCATCATCCTTCGCACAGCCTATGCATTTATAATCGGGCTTAATAAGGTCTTAACAAAAGATGGAGGAAGGAACGGCACTTTAACCGAACACAAGGGGACTGCTTAGACGATGAAAACCAGAGCTTTGACCTCCTGTTTCCTTTGGTTTTCCTCTTTTGAAACGGACCTCTATTTACTATCCATGGATCATAAATGTATACATCCTTTATAGCTTTTCTTCCTTGAGGCAGTTAGCCTTCCCCTGTGGCCAAGGAGTGTCTGGTGTCTTCACGTACTTCGCTGGTGTTATCTGGTTTAATGTTCTAGGGGTTAAGGGGAAGAATTTCTAAAGCAATACATCTTTAAAAGGGGGTGGAGGAGAGAATCTTTCCTTCGCTCTAACAGAGTGGGCGATTCGCGGAGCCTGGTGGACTCCACGGAGCTAATAACCACCAGAGAAGAGCTAGACAATGCCTAAAGCACCGAGGGCAGGCCAAGGGGACCAGGGAGCTTGCTGATTCTCATATAGAGCCTTTTGCTTTCTTGTGCCAATTCCTCGCCGCTGGTGCTCTTTCCCACAGCGGTCTAGAGATCTACATTCAAAGCCTCCCGGGGCAGCAGAGACGTACACGCCTACAACTCTCTTGGAGGAGCTGGCCAGACATTTATTTCACTTCGGGCTGAGAGAGTTAGCCAAGAAGTGATTTAAAGCCCCGGCTCTGTTCCACTCCCCATCTCCCGCCGCCTGACGCGTTTTCCTTCAACAGGCGCCGAGAAGTGACAGCTCCAGGCATCAACCCGGGGATTAAGGACAGCCAGCCGGCGGAGGTGCGTCGGAGTTAGTGGGCACGACCCCACAGTCACCCGGAAAACTGTTTGTTTTCTCTATTACTCCCCCACTCCTTCACTGATGCGCACTGAAGGAGCTTGGGAGGCAATGGATCTCACCCCCTTCATCCTTCCCAGCAGGTGCGCCGCGGCCAGAAACACTCCTCCCTAAGGTCATTTTCGGGCGCACTGGATCGCCTTTGCCCCAAAGTCGATCCAGTGGAAGATTCCCAGAAGGGCGGTGGTCCTCTCATGACAGACAGCTACACTTTTCATTCCCGACATGTGTGTCGCAAACCAATGAAAAATATAACAAAATACCCAAACAGCTCCCGGGAGATTCCTGCCCGGAACAGGTGAAAACCCTAAAGAACTAGGAATGTCGCTCAGCTTGTCCTTTGCCAACCGTGGACCGCGGCGGGGGCTGAAACTTCCGGTACCACCACCCCAGCCCCCCCAAATACCACTTGTCCGGGCTCGGGAGCCTGGGGGCTCGGACAGCTGCTGCCACCGCATCGCGGATGCGTGAAATTCACTAACCCGTGAATCACCGAAGAAGCCAGGGGACCCCGCCGAGCTGATTGGATCCCAGAGGTCGGAGAACACCGGCGCTTGGCCCCTCTTACCTAGTGCTCACTGGGCCCCAGCTGGGGCATCCGCGGGGTGCGCGCCGCTCCAAGGCTTGTGCGCACCTGGCCGCCTCCCGCCCGGCCCCAGCGCTGCGGCTGCGCTAGCGCTGCATGGCACACAGGGGCTGGCCGGGGGCCCCGGGAAGCCTGTCCAGTTGGCCGCGACTCCTCCGGCTCTCGCGGCTCGCCAAGGGCTCCCCGCCTTCCCCCGCCCCGCGTCAGTGCGCCCTTCCTCGGCGGCCGCCCTTTTCCCTCCGCTCTGTCGGACCGGACAAACTGGTTTCTCTGCTCCAGGGAGGAGCTTCTCGCCTCCCCCTAGCAGCGGCCGTGGCCGCGCGCGGCTTGGGGACCAAGCTGGAGCTAGGGCCGGGGGCGGGTCCCGCCGTCTGCCCTCCCTCGATCCCTCCCCGGGGCGGAGAGGTGTTGGGCTGCCAGGCCTGGGGCTGGTTTACGCAGCCTTGCTCTAGTGCGAGGTCCTAGCGCCCCAGAGGCAGGTGGCCACCCCTGACCGTGACCGATCTTATCCTGTGATCGATGCCTATCCTCTGATCCTGGCTCTCGGGGCACTCCTGCTCCCTGCTTCACAGTCGCGCGCCCCCCACGAGCTTCGCATCACTTTCCCATCCACTGTAGGCTTGGCTGCAGGCCGGGGTCGGTGACCGTGCCAGCCCGGAAAGCTGGCGGGGTTACTGAGAGCCGGGGACCTGAACTCATTCGGTAAGAGGAGCCGTCCTCGCTCCCGGCCAAGTCACGTCTAGGGATCAGTCACCAAAGGCGATGGAACAGACGGCGCTAAGTCTCATAAGACTTTGAGAAACTGTAATTGCAGCAAACTCACGTTCTGCTGAGTTGTGGCGCGTGTTTAGGACCTTGGGACCAGAAGAAACAATGGTGTAACAGGATAACAGTGTTATGGTTGCAAGATTCAGACCCGCATGTGCAGCGTTGCTGGCGGCTGTTTGGAGTATGAATCGCACCTCCCTTGCAGCATGAGAGGTGCTGTTTCTACAGCTGCATCCCTAAGGCTCTCAGAGCTTACCTAACTACCAACAAGTCGCTGGGGTCAGAAGGGAGGCAGGAAAAGGTCTACAGGAGTATTTAAAAGGCAGCTGTTACCGCTCAGCACTTCCCTCTCATCCCTATATCTTAACAATGCACCTCATAAAACCACCTTGCAATTTCTCTTGTCAAATAATTCTGTAACATGGGAACAATAAATCTGTTGTCCACTTTTTAAAATTGTTGCTGCCTTTTAATCCACGGCTGCCCAAATCAGCAACTGCAACTCCACCACTATCAGCAGTGGCTAGGGAATTCTGTTCCCTCGGGCACCAATTCTTTCAAAGCTGAGAAGGGAACTTTTTTTTTTTTTGTAAATTTTATTAAATTATAAAAGTTTCCATTTCCGCCCCTCTTCCCAATACCCTTCCACTCCCCCCACTCCCTCTCCTCCTCCCTCTTCTGTCCCTTAGGGCAGTCAGGGTTTCCTGCCCTGTGGGAAGTTCCAGTTCCTTCCCCCTCCCTCCAGGTCCAGGAAGGTGAGTGTCCAAACAGACTGGATCCCCAAAATCCAGTATATGCAGAGGAAACAGGTCCCAGTATCCTAGTCAATGGCTTTTCAGAAAGACTTCGGGCCAGCCACAGTCAGAAAATCCGGCCAAATTCCGAGAATCTGGTTCGATCACCTCCTCGTTCAGTCCCAGTCCAACTGGCCTTGGTAAACTCTCATTAGATCCGTTCCCTTGTATCAGTGGGTGATAGCATCCCTCGCAGTACTGATTTCGTTTTTCATGTTCTTCCTCCTTCTGCTCCTCATTTGGACCTCGGGGGGCTCAGTCCGGTGCTCCAATGTGGGTCTCCGACTGTATCGCCGTGCTTCGCCAGATGAAGGATCTATGGTGATAAGCAAAATATACATCAGTATGGTTATGGGCCACGGCCGATTCAGGCACCCTCTCCTCTGTCCAGAGAACAATCTGGGGGATCTCTCCTTGGACCTGGGATCCCATATATAATCAAGTCTCCTGTAAACCCTAAAATGACTCCCTTAGTTGAAATATATTCTTCCCTGATCCCATATTCATCCTTCCTCCCTACCCCCCATCCCAGGCCACCGAACTTTCCCCATTCCTCCCCTACTCCCTTCTCTCTAACCCTCTCCCCTTCCATCAACCCTCCCACCCCCCCCCCATGCACCCGAGGTTACCTGGGACTCTTGTCTATTTCCTACCTCCTGGTGGATAGCTAAATAATCTTCATCAGGTTCATCTTCTTATTTAGCTTCTCTAGGATCACGAATAATAGGCTCAAAGACCTTTAATTATGGTTAGAATCCACTTATGAGTGAATACATACCGTGTTCCTCTTTTTGGGTCTGGCTTACCTCACTCAGTAAAGCGTTTTCTATTTCCATCCATTTGCATGCAAAATTCAAGATGTCATTGTTTTTTACCGCTGAGTAAAACTCTAATGTATATATGTTCCACACCTTTTTTAACCATTCTTCTATTGAGGGGCACCTAGGCTGTTTCCAGGTTCTGGCTATTACAAATAGTGCTGCTATGAACATAGTAGAACAAATGCTTTTGTAGTATGTTAGGGAATCTTTAGGGTATATTCCCAAGAATGGAATTGCTGGGTCCTGAGGGAGGTTGACTCCCAGTTTCCTGAGAAACTGCCACACTGATTTCCACAGTGGCTGCACGAGTTTGCATTCCCACCAACAATGGATGAGTGTTCCCCTCACCCCACATCCTCTCCAGCATAGGCTATCGTTGGTGTTTTTGACTTTAGCTATTCTGACAGGTGTAAGATGGTATGAGAAGGGAACTTAACTAAATCCCTGTCCCTCTAAAGAACTCAAGATTCAAGGGTTGAGGTGGAATTCTGCTCCCCAGAGAGGCTGAATAGCAAGTAGTTCACCTCTTCTCTCATCTCTCCAAAGGCCCTAGTGCTGCTCCTGGCTCCTCCCTACCATTTCCTGTCAGCTAGTGCTGTCTCAGACTCCTGACCACAGGGGAATTTTATTTAATCAAAGACATCTCTGCATCATTAAACAAATGTCCCATAGCATAAACAAATGTAATCCACCTTAAAATAATATTCTACAACATTTACCCCTTTTCATCTAAACAAAAAAAAATAAAGGATTTCACTTTAACATAATAAGGCTGTACACAGTAAGAACAATTATCAAGTAAAGACTGCAGTCACAATGTAATGAATTCCAGTTCATTTGTGTCTGGCAAATTAAAAGAAAATACTCCACTATCTATCCTATCTTATTGAATCTAAAGTCTTATACCTATTTTACTCTCTATCATAACTAAGAAAAACTGCACCTGTAACTATCTAGACTCTAACTCCATCAAAGATCCCAGAAGGATAATATTATTTGAGTAAACAAAAAGTGCATTGCAAACAACTTCCAAAAGTCTAGAAATGACAGAGACATCTGACTGCCTGGACAGTCACCCGAAGGTCTCACTGCAACTTGGGGCATCCGTCTTCAACCCACAGACCTAGAGTATCGAGCAGACTTCTCAGTGAAGCAGGTCAGAGTTCATTAGTCACTTTTCTCTGTGAACTGTAGACTATCTGACAGACTCTTTTGTACAGCAGGAATTTTGAAAGACTTTCCTGCCTCGTTTTTGGCAAAATTCATCAGTTTTTTTTTTCCTCTGGGTCTTGCGTGTTCAGTTTACACAGCAAATTGTCATCAGTAAAAGGCAAAAACAATTTCTTTGCTCAGTGGCTAACCTTGCCACAATGAGCCATAAGGAGTTTCTTCAATGCTCATCATCTTCTCTGAAGTAAGTTGGTGCCAGGAGTAAATGTGTCTCATTGTCATAAAAAATTTTAAATTAATGAAATATCAAAAAAAAATTAACGAAATATCTTAAATGCCATATTCTATAGGTCTTTGAAGTATTTGAAGACCTTCTACCTATAATATATCTATTTAATCTAGAAAACATATCTACAAATTTGATTGTTATAAATGACTACTGACGTATGTTTCTTGATTATCCTATATAGTTTATAAAAATAACTTTCAAGAACTAAAACTTTACCTTACACTTTTAAATGCGCTGCAGAGTAGAAACACATATACAATATATGGTAACAAAAACAACCTTAAATTTGTATCAATATACAAAAACCCTTTAGACAAAGCTAGAAACATATATACAGTATAACAATAATAACTTTAAATTTTTATCAATATTCAAAAACCCTTTAAATAAAAGTAGAAATATATACATATAGTGTATTGTAACAAAAATAATCTTAAATTTTTATTAATTCTTACAAATAAAAAATATTTTAAATCAATAGTTGTTCCTTAGTTTATAACAGATTCAATAATCTACCATATTATATAAAATAGATTTAACAACCTACCCTTCCATCTTATCATTTCTATATCCCCCCTCTTTCTTTTCTTTTTCAGATATATCCCTGAATGTAATATCATTTGTATAATTTTTCCTCTTGACAATATCAGGAGCAATTAATAAACAACCACCATTTATAATGACAAGCATCAATAACCCACCAAATGACCAAATGGTATTCTTTGCATCTCTTAGGAATGTGGGTGTTTCCCCCAATATTACTTCCTGTTATCTAGGGGCAATGATACCCTGAAAAAAACTGAAATGTCAATGGCATTATTGTGATCCAGGCAGAATAAGTGATGCGTGGCCACATCATCTTTTTGGAGACTTCAGAGATTGCTGTTAGAAAAATTTATTGTTTGTTGTAGAAAACTTAAACATTATTAATATAAAAATGGAAAATTTAAATTCTAAGGTGGCAATATACCTAAAAAAAACTTTCAAAGAGTCAAAATAAATTTGTGGGGGAAAGAAATTTGTGAAAACAATAGTCTCTAGATTTTGGTTTTCTTCTGTTCCATTCTAGGTGGCTCTTCTGATATAAGAAAGAGTCTCTGAATTTTCTTTTAAAATTTTAAAAGTTTCTTCTATAAAACATGCTTGAATTTAGAGAAGAAGAGAGCCTCACTCCACTCCAAAACCAGCTTTGGTTTATAATTGAGTCAGAACAATAAATATTTCAGGAGGTAAAAAAGATTTTTTCCCCTATAGAAAATAATTATACCATTATGCCAATTATATCTTGATGATAATTATATCATCAAGGAAAGTAGTTTCTTTTCTTGGTATTTTTTTTCTAGACAGTTCTCCCTTCTTCTTTATATGTCTATCTGTCCAAAGGTCCTTGACATCTTCAAGATGGATATTTTTATTTACATGTAAAGACAAAAGCAAAACCGTACCCCTACCCTATTTTGTTGAGTTTTTCCTTT